AACCTGCTTCTCTCTCTCCCACTCCCCCTGCTTGTGTTCCTGCTCTCGCGCTCTCTCTCTCTCTCTATCAAATAAATAAATAAATAAAATCTTAAAAAAAAAAAAAAGAACTGGGGTAATGCTTTGGGAAGACTTGATAGCACTTGCTGACATACCAGGCACAAGATGGACCCATTTGAAAACATTGGTGGAAAGAAAAGAAGGTAGGAGCAATATTTGGTGACCGGATGGCTGCATACACTTAAAAACTATGGGAAGACACTTAGCCAAAGATTCAAGAAACATGCTAACTCCCAATCCTAATATAATAAAAACTGATGAAAACTACATAAAAAGAGAAGATATCAAAAAATGGATTTAAAATATGTATTGTTTTCAGTTGACTCTCACCAGAAACAATAGAAGCCAAAAGATAGTAGTGTGATGTCTTCAAAGTGCTAGAGAAAACTTGGACTCCTATACCCAGGGAAAGTATCCTTCAAAAACAAAGATAAAATAAAAGCACAGACAAAAATGGAGGGAAGTTGTCACCAACAGACAAAAACAAAACAGAACAAAAAAGCAAACAAAAAAAGAGAAAGAAAATGGTCCTATTTAGATAGTAGCTCAGAGATATATGGAAGGAAAAATAATTAGCATGTGCAAACCTAAATGAATATTTGACTACATTAAATAAAAATGTTCATGTGGTTTGAGCTATAGAGAGAATTTAAATAACCAATAACAGACGTGTCAGGAAAAGGTAAACACGGTTAAAGAGCTCCATCATCCTTGCACGTACTGGGACATGATAAAAGCAATAATTCCTATTGGACTTCAGAAGATGATGAAAACATATCATAGAGCTTAGAGTGACCAATAAAAGAATACATCAGTAGTTTATTGCATTTTTTTAGCAAGATGAATTATTTATGGTTTGTATAACAATTATAATATGTAAATTATAACATAGTAAGTAAATTAGAATATGCTGATAGAAGGGAAGATTACGATTTTTTTAAGTCAATAAAAAAGAAAAAACATGGTGAAAAAAGTATTTAGAAAGAAAGCATTGGCTCCAAAGAGGCAAGAAAGAACATTTCTATGGTGAGCGCTGTGAACTGTGTAAGACTAATGAATCACAGACCTGTACCTCTGAAACAAATAATACATTATATGTTAAAAAAAAGAAGAAGAAGAAGAAGAAGATAACAGGAAGGGAAGAATGAAGGGGGACATCGGAGGGGGAGACGAACCATGAGAGATGATGGACCCTGAAAAACAAACTGAGGGTTCTAGAGGGGAGGGGGGTGGGGGGATGGGTTAGCCTGGTGGTGGGTATTGAGGGCACGTTCTGCATGGAGCACTGGGTGTTATACGCAAACAATGAATCATGGAACACTACATCAAAAACTAATGATGTTATGTATGGTGATTAACATAACATAATAAAATAAAACTAAAAAAAAAAAGAAAGAAAGAACATTACAGAGTGATGGGAATAGTCTGTATCTGGAACACAGTAGTACTTACCTAGCTATACACATTTGTCAAAACTCATTCAACTATACACTTATAAAGAGTGAGTTTTTAGGGGCGCCTGGGTGGCTCAGTTGGTTAAGCGACTGCCTTCGACTCAGGTCATGATCCTGGAGTCCCGGGATCGAGTCGCGCATCGGGCTCCCTGCTCGGCAGGGAATCTGCTTCTCCCTCTGACCCTCCTCCCTCTCATGCTCTCTGTCTCTCATTCTCTCTCTCAAATAAATAAATAAAATCTTTAAAAAAAAAAGAGTGAGTTTTTATTGTATGAAATTACACCTCAATAAATTGGATTTTTAAAAAAAAGTAGCTGTTATGACCCAGTGGACTTTAAGGCAAGAAATGTTCCTAAAACAGAAGCAGGATATTTCATGAGATAAAAGTTTCATTTCACCAGGAAGATGTAGTATTTGTAGGCAATATGTAGCTAATAATATGGCCTCAAGACATCTAAAGTATAATAACGAAAAGAGCTATACAGAATTATATGCAAGCCCACCATCAAAAAGGTAGACATTAATACAACTCTCTCAGTAATTGATAGAACAAGTAGGCAGAAACAGTACAAATATAAAAGATTTGACATCGTGGTGAACACATTCAGCTTAATTTTCTTACGTAGAACACTGCTTCTAACAACTGGAAGTGTATACATGTGGAGTATTTACTAATATTTTAAAAGAAGGCAAGTCTAAAAAATTTTCAAAGATTGAAATCATACAAAATATATTCTGACCTAGCAGAATTAAGTTGGGAATTTACAGTGAAAAGATAGCTGGAAATCAACCTTATATTTGGAAATTTAAAAATGTTCTTCTGAACAACTCATAAGTAAAAGAAGAAATAAAAATAAAAATTTTAAATATCTTCAAGGGAATGATAATAAAAATATAATATAGCGACATTTCTAGAACGGAGAGAAGTTGTGATTAGAAGGTAATTTTTGGTCTATTAGAAAAAGATAACAGGTTAAAAATCAGTGATCTCAGCATCAACCTCAAGAAGTTCTTTTTTAAAAAAGTCAATTAAATCCAAAGAAGGGAATAACAAAGATAAGAGCGGAAATCAATCAAATAGAAAACAAGCATACAACAGAAAGAATCAACAATGTCCTAAGACTAAAACAACTGATAAACCCCTGGCAAGAATGGTCAGACAAAAAAAGAGAAGGTTAAATAAGCAGCGAAGTAAATGAAAAGGGGACAAAAGTAGAAAATTCTGGGGAAAAAATGTAACATCACTGTTTACCTGGGGTTGAAGATACGAGATACTACTGCCCAGCAAGGGGCTCAGGGAAAGGTTCCACATCTTGTTTGTTGTCATACTTTCCTGGGTCCACTCATTTGTCAAAGTTCATTGAATTACACACTTAAAAGTCATTCACCTTATAGTCTATGAATTACACCCAGTAATGTCTACTTTAAGGAAAAAGAGTAACCGTTAGAAAGGAAGGGGAGACCTGCCATTATTCAAAGATCTGATTGCGAATGGAGAGAAACCAGAGGAACTACGCATAGGCTATGGAATTCATAAATTTATACAGCAAGATTGCTGGATTCATGGTCAACGTAAAAAAATCGGTTGTATTTCTAATTACCAACAACAATCAGAAAATGAAATGCAATTGAAGGTACTGTTTACATAACATTACTGTGTATTCCATGGCAGCCCGGTCAATAGAATTTACACACTGTAAAATATCTATTGAATACTGATATTAGTTTCTAAGTAGAACTATGATGGATTGTTGTAATCACGGGCGGGAACTGTGTTGAGCTGGGAAAGGCCCCACATCCAGGAACTGGAAGTAAGAGAAGGATGATTAAAACAGATCAATAAGCGATGATATAAGTGGGTTATTTAGAGACGTAGAGATAGATACAGAATAGTGACTTTATTCTTGAACTATGGTCATGCGTAGTTTTGACAAAAATAAAATAGCTTTCAAATGAGAACGTGCACTTTGGAATCAGACAGCCCTGAGTCTACAATCTGTCTCCTGCATTTCTAGCCGTGTAACCTTGGAATCATATAACTTCCCCAAGGCTTCGATTTTTTTCATCTGTAAAATGAGAATAATAATATCTACTTCGTAGGGTTGTCATGGAGATTAAAGTAGGTAAAAGTACACTCATGGGCAACAAAATGCTTAAAACCAAAACTGATTGTCGCCCCCTCCAAAAAAAATTGGTCACAACCAATTCTTCCTTCCAAGAGGCAGACAGGGAAAAGTGGGGACACGGAGGAACACAGCTTAGATCCGCGGCAGGCAAGGTCTCTATCCAGGACAGCTCCTTCTAGAGAGCTGCAGAACTCCCTGTGTACAGAATGGGATGTGAGCCTTTTCATTTGAATCCCAAAGACAGCCTGTCTCTGCTGACATTTGGGTTCAAACAAGAGCTGAGCCAGAAAGAATTACACTGAATTTTCTTCAAACATCATGTTTGAAGAATCTCCAAAAGCCTGCCATTTTTCTTTATTTTCTGAGCCCACCTGGTGAGAGGTGGGGTGGCTTGGGTCCAGGTTCTGTCAAGTGTCTCACTGATGGGATGTGAGCCTCCAGTCAGAACAATATCTCCAGAAATAAACTAAGAGGAGGGAAGGTCAATTTTCTTAGAGGGAACTGAGGGTCAAAGCCAAGAAAGCTGGGTTTAAAAAGGAAATTCGACCCGAGGGCAAGAAACACAGGCCCCAGGCTGGAGCCAGGAGCTATGTTATCTCCATCACCCACCATAGTTTCCTGCTTCTATAGATCCATTCCTCAGCCTGGTATTCCTTCCTTCTCCAAAACCCATCTTACAAATTGATTGGTTCTGCTGTTTCTTTTCTTTTATTTTTTTTAATTTTTTTATTTTGAGAGAGAGAGAGCATGCAAAGGAAGGAAAGAGGGGCAGAGGGGGAAAGAGAATCTTAAGCAGTCTCCATGCTCAGTGTGAAGCCCTACATAGGGCTCAGTCTCATGACCCTGAGATCATGACCTGAGCCGAAATCGAGAACCGGAGGCTTAACTGAACCGGAGGCTTAACTACCCAGAGACCCATTTCTGCTGTTTTTTTAAATGACTTTGTATCCATTGGCTTAACATTTGCATGCCACATTTTTCCAGTTGCATACTAACGTGATATTTGTCAGGGAAGTTGAAATGAACAGAAAATATTCTTTGTGACCAGTCTAATATACTCTTCCAGATTATCTCTGCCTTTTCATTGTCTTTAAACTACTTTAAACTTTAAACTACTTTACTACTCTGTGAATCACAGAAAACTGATACTGCAAATTAGTCTTATCCAGAGGAATGCAAATGAATCATGTCCAGTGGAATGCAATTGATTATTGCCCTGTGGATCATAACCGGTTTTCATCTGTCAAGAAAATTTATTTCAGCAGCTCTGACTGCCTCACAATAGACAGTTCAGAATGTTTGTTGGTTGAATGAATGACATTGAAGCTTAAAACATAAACCATAAGAACTCACCAATTAAAGTTTATAACTCTTACAGGTAAGATGGGATTGGTAGAGTTCCATGCATCTTTCCGCTGCTAAGGAACATTGTCCACGATGCCTCCAGGTCCTTCCACCTCCTCTGTCAACTGCCCACTACTGCTCTCTGCTCTGCAGTCTGCCATGAGAACACTCTCGCTTACTGCTTCTTTTTCTCCAGTCTTTGAGAGACCTTGCCTTGATGAGATCTTTGATCCCCCATGTTGATCAAAAACAGCAGGCAATCTGGAAGGAAAGCTGCAGAGTTACAACAGGGATACCTCGCTGTAAGATACTACACAACAATTACAGAGAGAGAGAGATTCAGAGACAGAGATAGGGAGGAGGCAGACTGATGTAGAGCATATCTAAGATGTGCAAAGTTTAAAAAAAAGATCAATTGCAGGAGCGCCTGGGTGACCAGTTGGTTAAGAGTCTGCCTTCGGACAAACTGAGGGTTGCTGGAGTGGTGGGGGGTGGGAGGGATGGGGTGGCTGGGTAATAGACATTGGGGAGGGTATGTGCTATGGTGAGCGCTGTGAATTGTGTAAGACTGTTGAATCACAGAACTGTACCCCTGAAACAAATCATACATTATATGTTAAAAAAAAAAAAGAAGATAATAGGAAGGGAAAAATGAAAGGGGGGAAATCAGAGGGGGAGATGAATCATGAGAGACTATGGACTCTGAGAAACAAACTGAGGGTTCTAGAGGGGAAGGGGTGGGGGGATGGGTTAGCCTGGTGATGGGTATTAAAGAGGACACGTTCTGCATGGAGCACTGGGTGTTATATGCAAATAATGAATCATGGAACACTACATCAAAAACTAATGATGTAATGTATGGTGATTAACATAACATAATTAAAAAAAAGAAAGAGTCTGCTTTCGGCTCAGGTCATGATCCTGGGATTCTGGGATCAAGCCCCACATTGGGCTCCCTGCTTATTGGGGACTCTGCTTCTCTCTCTCTCCCTCTGCCCCTCCCCTCCCCTCATGCTCTCTCTCTCTTGCTTTCTATCTCAAATAAATAAATAAAATCTTAAAAAAAAATCAGTTGCAGAACAACATGTTAGTACCATCTATTTTTACTAAAACACACACACACACACACACACACACTGGTATATTCATTAAATAAAATGAGCCTAATATGCCGAACCTCTGAGAAAAGGTTGGAATTACGGAAAATATTTTCTTTATAGGCCATGTGTTTCTGTAATGTTTCAATTGTATTTACAATAGTCACATATTACAGTTGTAGTAATAAAAATAAGAACTATAAAAGATATAAAAGAAAATAAGAAAGCAGCTGATTCTGCAAATAAGAGCCCCCCAGATGCAGACCCAGGGCAGTTTTCCTGAGCACATGATGTAGCAAACATTAGCCTTTATTGTAGATTATTATTCTCAATCAGAACCAAGTGTGAACAGAGATGGGGTCAGCATATTACCTTCAAACACAAAACACAGCAAAATTTTCCTCATAATGGCTTTCACAGTACTTTCCAATAGAAATATACCTGGAGAAAAATGGACAAAGTCCATCAATCAGAAGTTTTCACTCTTTGATGGATGGTTCATAGCTTAGAAGGAACATAACACCGGGAATAATGCATCAGATAAGTCTTCTTAATCACTTATAAATCTTGAATATTTTATAATTTTATATAAATATTAATGATTAATGAGCTTGCTTTTCAAAGCTTTTGTTAAGCATCCAGTGGGTGCCTGGCATTCTACTTTATTTCACATGCCCACTTAATCAAGTGTTGATTAATCTTATTTAATAGATATTCTTTTCTCTTTCACTAGATGAGAAAACAGAGGTTCAGAGTGGTTAGGAAACTTGCCAAAAGACCAGTGACAGAGGTGACCTCATTACCAGCCACAGTGACATCAGGTAAAATGGGAAATGTATGTATAAATGAAATACAATGTTCCAGCCAGAAGAACCACAGTGATAATCAAACACAAGTTTCTCTTTGCATGGAGGACTCACCTTGGACAACTGGCCCAGAGTTTCCCGACAGTTTGGATCTGACATTTCCCTACACATTTTGGGAATAGGGTTTCCAAAAAAAATTCAGAGGGTCCCCAACGTCCACGCATGGACTCCCTAGGAAACATTCTGAGAAATATCTTAGGTCCCTAGGAGCTCTGAGCCCATTCCAATCATTATAAACTCATGAAGAGTAATATTTGAGCAGAGATGACCTGCTCCAAAATAGTGAAAAAAAGGTGCCTCATGGTACTGACTTAACTGAAATAGTCCTCATTTGATATATTCTAGCCATTTGACCCTGAAAATTCATACTTCTGGATTTGAAAGATGTGGTCAGCACACTGATAGTGTAATCTCAATACCCCAGTGATGGAGGTGCCTGCCTGCCCGCTGGCATGTTTTTTTTACCTTAGAACTTAACAAACCTCCGGAGCTGTGGAGCTCTGGCTATATTTCTATATTACCACCAGGGGGCAGCAAAGTGCAAATAACGTCTCTAACTGCACTGGGTCTCCAAAGCTGGGCCCGGTTTGGGAGGACAATGTGGTTCTCATTCCGCCTGTGTTTCTCAGGTTTAAAATAATGGTAATGTAATTATTTTAGTCCTGCTCTGGAAACTGTCAGAACTGATTCATTTCAGATGAAAATATACTGCCTATTTACATCTGCATCCAAATCAGTTTTTTCGGGATTCAGGTTCTGCTCATTAAGGCATTTGCTCATCTAACCTGTTACTCAGAACCTACTGTCCACCAGGCGCTGCCCTGGGACCGGAGCCGTCTGTTATGGAAGTGGACCTTGGACAACCTCACCACCTTCCCAGGGCGGCGTTCCCTGCCACGTTCCCTTCTTTTTCAGTTTCTCTGAAGCATATTCTCATTTTATCTCATTTTTGTTTGTCTACCCTGCTCCTCACGAGCTGAAATTTTATTTGTTCTGTTTATTGGTGGACCCCCAGCTCTTAGTACTGTGCCCCCACATAGCGAGGGTTCAAAAATATATGTAGAATGAAACAATATAAAGCTATTGACGCATGCTGCAGTGGAGGTGGGCGCATACAGCTTTGTCTGAACTAGAGATGGTTAAATTCCTCCCTCACATGATGGTCCAATTTCCATCCCCACCAGCAGCGGGTGAGAGTGAGACCCCAAAGGAGTAATATTTGATATGAGCATCCCAAGGAACTTGGGACATCCCCTGTTCTCTCCTTCCACAAGAGAGAGACTTGAGGTCAAAGTGGAGAGTTTGCCCAAGACTACACTGGTCTTCAATGGTTGAGTCAGGTTCTAGGTGGGCACTCTTCACCCCGGCCTGCCTTCTGCCTACCTGACTTCTTCTTTTTCCTTAAACATCACCTCCCAGTATAACAAACTGCATATGTGAACAACCCGATCTGCAAAATACGTATTTGGTAATTGGAAGAGACAATATTCGGGCATCTGCTTCCTGGATCCCCAAACCTGCACTCTGGGAGGCACCTCTGACCAGCCTCTCAGCATGAGACCCAGTACTTACCTCCTAGTGCCTACACCGCTCTAGGTCCTTCAGAAATATCCAGTCCTTCGTTCCTCAACAATCCTGCGTGTGTGCTGCTATTATCCCCTTCTTTCTGATGAGAAAATATAATTAGGGCATCTGCTGTGCAGACATGGCACTTAGCATGGATTCGGGATCATTCTTTTTTTTTTTTTTTTTTTAAAGATTTTATTTATTTATTTGAGAGAGAGAGAATGAGAGAGAGAGAACACATAAGAGGGGATAGGGTCAGAGGACGAAGCAGACCCCCCGCCGAGCAGGGAGCCTGATGCGGGACTCGATCCCGGGACTCCAGGATCATGACCTGAGCCGAAGGCAGTCGCTTAACCAACTGAGCCACCCAGGCGCCCGGATTCGGGATCATTCTAAGGGCTCCGTGGTTTAGCTCATCTAGTTCCCTTAACGGCCTTTGCGGTAAGTACCGATGTCGTTCCCTGTTACTGATGTGGACGCTGAGGTCCAAGCCGCTCTGCTGGGAAGTGGCGAAGCCGCCCTGTTGCACTGCTGTGCTCTGCTTCCTTGCTGAATAGTAGAGGCTCAGAACCGTGGAGTGCACTGACATCATCTGAAGCCATTTCCGTGAATGGCTTGTTTTGTTTTTGTTTTTGTTTTTTTCACAATATTAATCTACAGGTTTGGGCCAGAAAAGCCTTTTGTTAGAAAGTCACAGGTCTGAAACTCAGCAGAAAAGAGGAGGTCGTTAGCACGTAAAAGCTGCCCAGGCTGCAAACAGTATTTCCTCCCCGCGTCTATTCTCCTCTAATTTGGTGTCATCTGCCAAGATCTTTCTGGGATGCTGCAGCTGCTCATACAAGCTCTTGAAGGGATTGCATTCACTGGCCAAGGGATGGGCTGGGCTTTCTGTGTCCACCCTTCAATCTGGGCATCCAGATGCTGGCTCTGCCGTGGGTATGGGGGACTCCCCAGAGCTTGGCCACTCCAGTCTAAACTGGACAGTGAACTGAAGTCACCTCATAGAGACTTGGAAGTGGTGTTTGTGGGAACAGAGTTGGTTCGCTCTGTTATGCTGTCAAACTAATCTGGGCTCCAAGCCCCTTTGAAAGTCATCAGGAGAACACAGTCTAAAACGATGGACAGGAAGTCGATCTTTTGCTGGCTGGAGGTGTTCCTGTTGATGGAACTTTTACATCTGGTATGACATAAATGAGCAGAAAAGGTTTGGCTTACTCATGCTATCCTTAGTTGGTCTCTGTATGTCTGGCTGGAGTTCTGACCTCTGGAACTGGAACATACTGATCAATCTCAGAGCCCCTTTGTGGTGCATAAAACAAGGTGACCAACGAAGGCTTTGGAGTCCAATGGACTGGGAATGCTCCACCACACACTAGGGATGTGAATCTGGGCAAGTAACTTTGCCTTTCTGAGCTTCAGTGTCCTCTCTGTAGAATGGGGGTCACAACAAAGCCTTTTTCATGGGGTTGTTGTCAATATCAGGAACTTAATGTATACGTTCAATAAATGGGCACGTGGGGTCAGAAAGCAACAAAGGAGCAGGTCTGAGCCTGGCTCCACCTTCTTCTAGCTAGGCAGCCTCAGACACATCACTTCCCCATTCACGGGCTTGAATTTAGCCTGTGTGAAGGAGGACACTGAAACACCATCCTCTCTTGGGGCTCTGAGCACTCTGCAGTGGTGTTCCCCAAAGATGACCACTCTGTCCCCCACAGCCTGCACTGATTTTCTAGAGTTCCCAGGGGATCACAGGGAGACCATGGGGGTCTCCGCTGCCAATCTCCAGAAGGAAGACAGTAAGTATTGAACATCTCTTAGGTACCAGCCTCTGATTCAGACGCTGCTCCTTCATTCTCCCACTTGAACCTCTTAATAACGCGTGATGCGGACAGCAGTATCATAAAAAAGAGTTCACAAAAGAGGAAACAGGCTTAGACAGTTCACACAATCTTCCCAAAGTCACACGAATGGAGAGCGGCACAATCTACACTTCTACTCGTGTCCACCTGTGTCCCAAGCCCCACGGCCCCTAGATGATCTCAAGACATTGGAAAAATGAAAATTCTCCTCCTCTAAAGGACAGGAACCTCTATAAAAAACTGAAAACAAGTATTCTTACTGATAATAGTCACTTTTCCAACTCCATTGTGAATGCTCAAATGGGAAGCCAATAAAAAGGGTATTTCCCAGCCTTTTATGATGGATTAATTTACAAGTTAATTTAGCCATATTGGTTTTGCAAAATAATAAATTATTTAGGAAAAAACCCCATGGTAAGCAATTCAAAATAGTCTTGGAATTCTCCCCAAATACAATGGGTTTGAGGTTTCCCATATTTTAGTTATTTACTTGTTTATGTATTTATGTGGGGGGCGGTCCCCTATTTTGGCAGATCAAGCCAGCTATAATATTACTGATCAGGTCACTATGCATGGCAGAAGAAAAGGCAGATATTGATCACAGCAAAAAAACCACAGAGGACAAAATGAACCAGTTTTTTCCTTGGTTTCTCCTCTATTATATTTTCAATGATATTTCTTAAAGAAATGACCAAAAACAACTAGGAAACAACTTAATGTTTCTCTCATTTCACCTGCCCTCAGCAGCATCTGATGGGATGAAGAGAATGGAACCATTGAAATGCACATGGCTGTTGGCTAATCAAGCAAAGCATTTCCTATCTCAAGGTTTGGATAGAATGTAGCTGGCCTGCGGCACAGCTCAGAAACTTATCTGTTCTTTCCTAATTGTTAAGTTCCTCTCTTAAAATCCTCCTCCAAGGGAAAACTTTAATTTAGAAAGGTCATAAGTTGGAGCCTCTGCCAAAAACAGCACAGGCTGGGAGAACTGACAATAATTTTGCCACAGTAATAATTGGTCACCACAGCTGATGGGGATAGCTTCTTTTTTTCCCCCTTCCTAAGATGCTATTTTTCTGTTTGGGTCATTTTGATTGTAGCAGCATGTACCAGATTATTAGACATCAAAGCTAATCTGTTTCCTTCACTGAAAGAAGCTCCCTCAATCTTGAACACGCACACACACACACACACACCTCATTGGAAGGATATTTAGGGGAAATATTTCTGCCTAAACATATACTTCTTGGTAGAATTCTGTTTTAGAATTGGTCAGATTTCTCCTATGAGAAGTACCAGCCTGGACACTCAGGGAGGCTGGTTGGAACCTCAAAATCTGGGGCAAGTAGATGTATTGTATTAGTCAAGGGAGACCAGCTGCTGTAACAGCCCCCAGATCTCAGTGTCTTGACACGATTAAGATTTACTTCCTGTTCAAGTCATATTCCGTGAAAATCAGCAGGTAGGGGCTCCCTGTTCCATTCGAGAACCTGCTCCTTCATCCAGTGACTCTGCGATCATTTAGGGACTCAAACTCCTTCATTTATGGGCTCCAGTATCCCTGAGGGCTTTAGAATCTGCCACTGGATACCCTGCCTCCAGACAGCAAACAAAAGGAGAGAGCAGAAGTGAGCGTGAGAAATTTTAGGGACCAGGCCTTTTAGTGGCCCACATCTCTGGCGCCCACATTCCGCTGGTTGCTACTGGTTAGTCCCATCTAACTGCAAAGGAGTCTGGGAAATGCAGTCTGGCTCTGTGCCCGAGAGAAAACAGGAAATAGGAGTTGACAAACCCCTAGCAGTTCCCTTGTGACCAAATGTGTTGAGCAACTACTGTGACATCCAGAGCATGTGGCAGTTTCTCAAGACAGGTTTATTATGGTCTTTTGTTTAGAGGATATTTAGATTTTCTAAGTACTTTACTCGAAAATTATTGCCCTTTCATATAGGGGTTAAAGAAATGTGAGTTTGGGATGAAGTAAAGGTCAGGAGGACGATGAGGCTGAAAGAGAGAGATCTATTGGTCACATAACTTGGAGATTTTGTTAAGACTTGCTATCTAGGTGGCATCTCAAGGGCCCTGTTGGGGATGCCATTTCCTAAAGCACATACAGGCAGTTAGAATGCAAACTTCACAGATGGCAATTATCAAAGGCCGGTTCCGGAGAAGCCAAAGCCACTCCTGGTTCCAAGGAGAAAATATGGAGCCAGGAACAGAAAATTTAGTCAAAAGGGGTTAAGAGCCAGGAAAATACGGACTCAAAATAGGATGGAAGGCAGGGACAGGAGAAGCCAAGAAATTCTGCCACAAACATTTATTTCCTCTGTTCTCTGAATGTCCATTGAGGACTTCCAATGTGCCAGTTTCCATATTGGAGAATACGACAGTGAGGAAAACTCAGTCCCTGCCTCCAGGGAATCCAAGATTCACTTTGAGTGGATACTGGCCTCATGGAGCATGGGTGGGCTTGTCTGCCGTAAAGCCCAGAGTCACTGGGAGAAGCAGGGCTCTTCCTGAAGAGATGTGACAAAAAGGCAGCTTTAACAGCTACCAAGATGGCTTCACACACTCAAAACCAAAGACCCTCCTCCTGATGTCATTTCCATCCTCCCAAGAAATTCTAAAGTCACTTCCCCCCAGCCAGCCCACCCCATGGAAATGTTGAGTCAAGAAATTTTAGAGCTGAAAGGGGTCTTATAAATGACTCAATCTGGCCTTTCTGTTTTTCTGCAGAGGAAAGGAAATCCGTGACCTGTCTGATCCCTGTGGACGGTATGGAGACAAGCCCCTCAGACTCACTGTCACACCCAGGTCACGCAGTCGGCCCCATTCCCTTGATGTGTGATCTATGTGGCATGGAAATGATCTATTGAACTCCTACTCATGAGACTCACACACTTTCCTAAGGATTGGCCTTTCTATCTCTGATGTCTTTTCCTTGAAAATGTCCCTGCGCTTCACTCAGGTTTCCCATGGTCACGGTTCTCCTCTCTGGGGCTCTATGGAATGTGTATGATCTTTCCTCCATTTTAGTTTCTCAAACAACTACTGCATCTGTTAGCGTCTCCACAAGACGGAGGCAGCACATCTGGATGAAGGCATTGAGAAAAGTTTGGTAAAAGACCTATTTCCAAAGGCTTGGCTGGAGTAAAATGAGACAAATGTGCGGTGCGTTAACCAGAGCTCGCCACAGAGGGGAGCCATTACCACCTCTACCACCGAAGGGGCAGGGCCAGA